GACGCCGCGGTCCGCTCGCGCGAATCAGCCATGCCGTCACGGAACTCGGATCGTCACCACCGCGACCGCGCGACCTATGAGGACGACGACCCCTACTACGACGACTACTCCTATGAGCGCCCGCGTGCATCACGCCGAGTGTCGCGGAGCGCACATGAGCTAGACTCCGCTGAGGCGGGGCGCTCGCACCGGCGCCGCGGCCGCACCTACGACGACGAAATCAGCCCTGTCCGACCGAAGACCCGCGCCCGCTCGCTTGACCAGAGGCCACCTCGTCGCCGGAACGACAGCTTCGACTCGTACGATGACTACTCTGACAGCGAAGATGATCGACGTCGACGACGCAACAGGAGCCGCGGTCGGGGCCACGGTAGTAGCCGCCGGAAAGACAGCAAGGTCTCCGCAGCATCGACATCCCGGTCTAGATTGCAGAGACGAGAGTCGGACAAGGCGCACATCATACAAGCTGCTGCGAGCGCTGCCGTTGTCGCTGGTGCTGCCGAGGCATGGCGGATGAGGAAGGACAAGTCATCATGGCAGAAGAAGGGGATGAGGATGGCGACGGCTGCAGCAGGTGCAGGTGCCATCGCGGCGTTCAAGGACGACAATCCAAAGGACTATGGTAAGAAGGACGCAGTCGGGGCAACGATTGGAGGGTTGCTGATGAATCAATTTGCCAAAGGGATGTTAAAAAAATAATGACGACACATAGAGGAAGGCACATAGGCATGCATGCGACAAGGAAGTTTTCTGGCATTATGATCATAAATTTACGACTACATAGAATCGTCTAGACGACGAGTATGACATACCAGGAGTTAGGAAAGGAGATAACCGTACAAATGAGTTGTCGGGGTGCGTTAGAAAGGAATGGACAAGCATCGTTGAGATTGATTCCAGGTCTAGACCTGCCAATTGGACGCGTTTTAATACTAAGTGTCGTTTCATGCAGGAAGTGTAAGATTTGACTTTATTGCTTTGCTATGTAGTGGGGTATCATGATCCAATTTTCCCACTCATGAACGGATTTAGAATCAGTAGGTACGAGCCGAAAAGTGCCAGGTTATCACGCCTAAGAACTTTACCAGACTTATGAGCTCCTTCTTCGTCACTCGTGCCTGTACCGCTCTGCGACTCTCCCTGCTCCGCCCATATCTCTGGCATTCCAAAATCGGGTTCCTCCTCTTCCGCGTCTGCATCTTCGTCTTCATCTTCATATTCAGTCGGGGTCTCTTCTGAGTATGAGGGCGCGGTTGGAGACTGTGTGAGATCTTCAAACTTGGTTCCATGCTCAACCTCAATAATCTTCCTCGCGGCCGCAATTAGCACGTCCTTTTCCCACAAATTCTCTCTAGGTAGTGCGAAAATCGACATCAACCTGATAAGCTCCAGTCTCATTTCGAGATCGCAACAGGTTGTCACTAGGAAGAACAGATTGGCCCCGAACCCGGTCTCGAATACAAATGGAGGCGATACTGGGTCCGAGAAAGGCCCTTCGTGTGGAATCTGAGACTCCAACCATGATAGTTGCTTGAGTACTCGGTCAAAGTTGTCCACCGATCTTTCATAACCCGATTCGGGATCATCAAACGCAATATTGAGCCATATCCGGCAGCACTCGTAGCGGGTCAACAAAAAGCACCGGTACATCTTGAGTCCGTACTCCGCGCCGTATTTGCAGTGTTTGGCAACCAAGGCATCCAGCTCTGTCATTTTTGGGTCGAAGTCGCTGAACAGCTTCAGCCACGTATTCAACAATCGGCTGATCGTGGATTTGTCGGTAAAGTGTTGAGAAAAGACAGAAATCTTCTTTTGGGGCTCAAACATGCCAGACGCAGTTTTTGGTAGTGAATGAGACTTTCGACTTGAGCGCATAATTCTTGTTGTGTGGTTGAAGATTCCATCGAGCATCTCTTGTGCTTCGGAGAAGGTTGAAAACGTAGTTGGTATCGGTCCCGCCAAGTCTGAAATATCGGAAAATTCGGAATTCTCGTCGCTAAAGAAAAACGCAAACTCGTTAAGTCGTCGGAAAATGGGTAAAAGATGCTGTTGAGTCCAATCATGCTGGGGCGAGGTCTTCAAGATTTCGACGCCATGCGTACAGTGCCTTAATGCCGCCTCTCTGTCCCCGCGTATGAACTCTATACAGACAAACAGTACGCATACAAGAAGTACGACTGATTCTTTATGCTCTGATTTGATGTCTTTGAGCCCGTGAATGGCGTTGTTGTAGTGCTTCAGAGCTATTGTCTGGTCGTCGAAACGTATCTTCGCATTAGACTCGGGCGTATAATAAGATTGTTGAAATAAGTCGCTAATTGAGATAACTGCGTGTCTTACAGCCGGCTCGAACGCACTGAACTGTAACACAATATTGGTCCAGAAGTAGGGATCCGCGGTGCCAGACATCAACGGACCCGCTGTCTCGCAAAAGAACTGCAGCGCATGGCCCTCACTTGATGAGTTCGCTCCAGGAAAGACATGGTGTGGCTGGTGCAGGGTGAGTGTAGTCGCATCACGCGATCCAACCGGGTCTCGCACATCGATCTTCAGTAGGTAACCGTCACAGACTCGGCCTGTCTTGATGCAGCGAACGCAGGACGGCTTGCCTTCGTCACACTTGACTTTCCGGGCCCTAACTATCTTGTCAGACGGTTGCGCTTGGCAAAAGAGAGACGAGTCACGAGCATGGCACGGTTCTTTTTCTTTCTCCCACCGGCGGGGTCCTCTCGTACTTACTTGCAGGTGATGCACCCAGTCCTGACTTTCCGGTTCCCCTTGCGGGCCATACTTTTTTTCGTTTCTTTTCATCAACCCAGGCTCTTCCGCATTTGAAACGAAGGTCAGGCTCGGACTTTTCTGCAAGCGTATCCAGAGTCCGAGCTTTCTGGGTGTGGTTTTTAACCTGGCGCGAGACTCGCTAGGGGCTTGATTGGCGACTGTTGCGCGGAAAGGTTGCGGGAAGAGGAGAACTTGCTCGGACTCGGGCGGGACCCAAAAGACAACACACGATCGCAGAGAGATCCACGCGTGCCAACTTTGATTGGTTTGGGCGGGGCTTACAAGGATTGATGCGAGCCGGCCAATCTGGACTCGTGATGTGGGCAGGACCCCTGATTGTTTGTAAGGATTTGGCGTGAGCTAGCCGCCGATGCACCGTTGGGGACAACCAACACCGCTTTTCAAGCCGGTGACAATCAGCTCACTAAGCCTGTTTTTGGTGTTGGCGATGGGGCAAGTCCACAGACAGGCTGCCTTTGAGGGGATATCAGGAGGCAAGTTGCTATTTCTTCCACAGGATTGGCCCCCATCATTGTTTTACCAACCGACTCTTGTTACTTGTGGGAGGCTCACAAATATGGCCTCGAATATGAGAGGTTCGTCAAGCTTACGTGAGATGAGCATCGATCTTTTAGGCAGACACATAAGGGCAATGAGCTACAAACCGAAGTTCCGGTTTAGTCACGAAACTGCAAAGAATAGCTGAGGAGCCGGGACATATAAGGAAGACTTTCAACTGCATTGAAAGTCTAGACAACACATGATTTTACTCTCTGACTGTTTTGATAATGTTGTTCAGAAGAGAAGACTCTGAAAATAAGCGTCTTTATCGAAGCCTCGGCATCGTTGATGGCTGTTCTCGCAGCAATGGTCTGAGCGTTACACGGCATTATAGTGTCTTCATCTTAGATCATCATCATCCGTCAGCGGTGTTACCTATCAATGTTGTCGCGCTTATGCGGCATACCGAGTTCATGAAAACTAAATGTAATGAGGTTTCCCAGGTTATTCTTAAAATTTAGATCCTGTTTTTAAGGATTCTTGAATCTCCGTGAACAGATGCTGGTTGTCCGTTACCTTTCAAGATTACATGTTCGGTCTTTGGTCTGCATGACAATGAGTTGACATTCAAAGTTGGCGTTACTTATGTGCTCAATTAGAGAATCAACACTATAACACCTACACCACCCAGTCAAATACATTGGTTGTCTCAAAATTCGTATGAACATCTTTATGTGCCAAATCCATACAGCAATTTCCGTATATCGACCCATCTCGAATATGACCAACGGGCACGTGCACTCTGAGTCAAAAGGCTGGATCAACTGTCTTCAACCTAGTCGCGAATGTTGTCATATTCAAGAAAAGCCCTCTTCCTTGGATCGCACAATGCCTGATTGAGCAATTGGGCCCGTTTCTAAAATATCAGCAGGATGTCCTCAACCAAGCCACCTGTTTAATTCGGCATGTTTAACATTGGTATGAACTTTTGTGAAAGCAACTCTCAGGTCACCGCAAGGCCGTGTCACTACCAACAACTTTCTGCTCAGGTTCAATCACGATATCGGCGCTGCCGATTCCTCCGAACTCCAGCCCGAACAATCACCTCGGAGCTCGGCCAGCGGTGATCGGATCAGCCCTGGGGAGTCGCCCGAGCTGAGCTTATTTGGTGGAGGACTGCTCCCCCAAGCCTTTCCTTGAGAGGTTCGAGCGAGGCATTTCTTACTGGTTCGCATCGCGCGGAACACGAGCTAACCCACGCTCGTAGGGATGCTGCCTGCATACGATGCTCCATAGCCGTTGATTAGATGATCTGATAACCTTTGAAGATTGAACCCTTGCCCGGTGAAGTTAGATGAGTCTTTTTCAACGACCTGCCCCATTGGGGCAAAATAAGCAGACCGTTGGTCATTGCCAAGACTCGGGAGTTGTATCCCGCTTGGCTTCTCATGAGCAGCAATGCTACATGCCGGTTACCGGCGCCATGGCCCATAAAAGTGTAATTAATGAAGAGGAGATTAAGCATCGCGACCTCGTGAGAGTGGGTGCGCCTTCACGATGCAGGGCACTGCGAAAACGAACAACGATGCTACCAAGCGCAATAAATAGCAACTCAAGGCCTTGCCGTCTTGGCTTTCGCTTCGCCTAAACCGTTAAACCAACATTCGAGGTTCCGAGATCAATCGTCAATTCCATCGATCTCATCCAGGTTACCGGCAATGGCTCGATGGTACAACATCGCGCAAGCGCTCCTTCTCGCTGGCGCACTCAATCCGGCAGCGGCCGAAAAGAGCAGCTTTGCCGGCCGCCGGAATCGCCTGACCACTCCGGCGTCCGAAGCCGCTTCTGGCCGGTACATAGTTGAGCTACAAGCCTCAACCGGCCCGAACGCCAGACAAGATGCCAGAGTCGCAGACTCTGTTGTCGACCACATCACATCCCTGGGATACGGCGCCAAGGTGAAGGACGATTTTTCTGCCATCTCCGGTCGCTTCAAGGGTGTCTCGGTGGAGATTACGAATGACAAGTCCACCGGCGCTCTAGATGACATCAAGAGTATCCCCGGTGTGGCTGGCGCTTGGCCTGTGTATCCTATCACCCTGGACGCGTCCTTTGAAGTTACCACAGGCTCGCAGAAATGGAACCCGCATATCGCCACGCGCGTTGATGAGCTTCACGAGCGCAACATTACTGGCGCAGGCCAGCGCGTCTGCGTCGTCGACAGTGGTGTAGACATTTCTCATCCAGCTTTGGTCGGCAAAGTTGCTGGCGGCAAGAACCTGATCGAGACCAACTCAACTGAGCTCACCGACTGCGCCGGCCACGGAACCTTCGTCTCTTCCGTCATTGCGGCATCGCATAAGGACTTCTCTGGCGTTGCTCCTGACTCGGAAATCTACATGTACAAGGTCTTTGGTTGCGAGGACTCAACCTCCAACGACATGGTTCTCAAGGGTATGCTTGCTGCCGATTCGGACGACTGCGACATTATTTCGGTGTCCATTGGAAGCAATACTGGCTATGCCAACTCCGTTCTCTCCCGCGTCGCGAGCGAGATTGCTCAGGACAGACTCATCATCATCGCTGCCGGTAACTCGGGTGAGATGGGGCCGTACTTTGCCAGCTCTCCTGCTGCAGGCCGCGGTATTGTCTCGGTTGGGTCTGTTGAGGCTTCACAGACTCTTGGATGGCCAGCGATGCTTGTATCTTCCAGCGGTCAATCGTTGAACATTTCATATGTCAGACCCGATGGCACCAAGTTCAATCAGACAGTCGATGTCCCTATCGTTCCAGACAGCGGCGACTCTTGCAACATCGCTGGCTCTGGGTCTGAAGACACGGCCGTGCTGGCTAAGCGCGGTGTATGCCCTCCTGCAAGCTCATACTCTTCCATCGCAAGCGGCGGCTTCGGGTTCGGCATCCTCTTCGACTCGTACAAGCAGGGCGCTTATTACATGTCTGACGTGACCCCCTGGTCCGACACACTCAAGTTGATGGCAGTGACGACTTCCTCCGTCGGTGACTGGGCTTCGACGCAGATTGGAAAGAACTACACTCTTCGTCTTCAGATTCAAGCAGACGCCCAGCCCGCGGCATTCGCTGCAGAGGTTCCCAGTTCCGGCCAGATCTCGAGCTACACATCCTGGGGCCCAACATACGAGAATGGCTTTTCGCCCATCATCTCAGCCCCCGGAGGTGTCGTTTATGGCGCGTTCCCCGACAACCGGTATTCCATCTCTTCGGGAACCTCATTTGCGACGCCTTACATCTCTGGCGTTGCAGCCTTGTGGTTTGCGCATGCGAAGAAAGATCGCGCCGAGTTCGTCCGCCGCTTGACCTCGACTGCCGTGGCTCTTCCTGCCTTTGACAACGGCGACGCCCGTGTCGTGGCGGAGATTGCCTCTCTTGCTCAGCAAGGTGCTGGTCTCATCGATGCTTCCAAGCTGTTTGACAGCACTACGGTCTTGCTTTCTGAGCCCACCCTCTCATTGAATGATACCGACAACCGTGTCACAACGCATACCATTCGCATCCAGAACACCGGGCCCGAGGAAGTGACTTATAACGTCACTCACATCCCGGCATCTACAGTTGCCTCCAGAAACTCGATCTGGTACCCCAACGTATACTATCCGCCTCTCCTGTCCGCAACCGGCTCACTTGCGGATGCAAAGACCGTAACCGTCCCTGCTGGAGCTACTCAGGAGATCGAGGTCACCCTGTCTGCCCCATCTCTCGATGCCGACAGCGGCGCACTTTGGAGTGGCAAAATCCTCTTGGCAGGCTCTAATAACGACCTGATTACCGTTCCTTACATCGGCGTCGAAGCTTCGACGTACAACTGGACCCCGCTCCACCATGGCCCAGAGTCGTACCGATATGATGATTCTAACGGTGACCTGCTTCCGATCGACTATCAAGGGCGGGCCTATCGCCCAGCCGAGGGCGAGTCACCGGAGACCTACTTCGCCTTCAGATACGGTACATACGAGTTCTCGGTGGACTTGGTCGGCGTGGATTGGACCACAGAACAGTCCTCGTACCCACCTCAGCATGGTTCCGGATCCAAAGCTTGGCTTGGGTCTGTCAGATCCCAACCCGTTGTTCCCGGCGGGTACATGGACTTCCCCATGAGGGAGGTTGTCCGCTTCAACCAGGGTAGCTTCGTTACCTTCCGTGCATTCGCTAACGGAACTGACATCCCCTCGGGCCGCTACCGAATTTTCACGCGTGCTCTGCGCATCTTTGGAGACGCGTCCAACCCGAAGGACTGGCAGCTCTTCCTCTCGGACCCGTTCTCGATCCAGCTTGGCAACGATCCCATTCCTGGTCAGAATGCCACTTTCACCACGAGACAGCCTTCGGCAACTGCGCCTGCTACGGCAACCTCCACGGGTGCCCCCGCTACAACATCTGCAGTCGCTACGACCGTTCCCATCTCCGTTCCAGGCCCTACCACCACTCTCACCGCCACTGCCACGCCAACGGGTCTATCAGGTGCTTTCACTTCTCTCAAGCTTCAGCGCCTCCGCGAAGACACTCCGTTCATCACCGATCCCGAGGCTTGGATGGAACTCCACGTTCAGATTTCCCTTCCCAGTCCAGTTGCAGCAGACTCGGTCCTGACCTTCGCCGTTCCCGCTGAGATCACCGACATCGCCGAGGGCGACCAGCTGTCCGCATCTGGTGCTCAGGCAGGATCCACCTCTTTCGACGCCGAAACCCGCCTGTATACTATCGCCCTCGCCGACTGGACCACTTGGAACAGGAACATGGTCGGCGACTTCTTCCTCATGTGCCGCTTCACGCCGGCGTTTGCCGCCTCGATGAAGCAAGGCACATATGTGGTTGAGTTCCCGACTGTTGACAAGGTCCATCAGGCCACAGTGTACTACACAGCTGTGGACAGATCAACTATCTACGACCGACTGGTGACATCGCCCTATGACGGTGCCAGCTTGTTCACGGTCGAGGCCGAGATATCCGCCTCCCTGGGCCCATGGGACTATGTTCGTGTGGAGTCGTCCCACTCCAGCGACTTGGACGGTTTCGTCTGTGACAACTCTAGCGTCATTGTCGGGCACGAGTTTGACGCCGAAAATCGTATCACGAGTTTCACCGATGTTTCTGCCGAAGCCGTGGAGGTTTGCAACGTGAAGAACTTCCGAGCCGTGTACAACCAGACCCTGACCGGCGATGATGTTCTGCGTTTGACAATGGGAAGCATTCAGGGCGACCGTCAAGCTTGGACGCTTAACCTCGTTTATCTTTTGGATATCCAATTGTCAAACGGAAGTCTGGTGTTGTATGATGCCAGGAACTGGGCGTTTGAGAAGAACCCCCGCTTGAGGAGCCAGTCCTTCAATGCATTCAGTGGCGAGCGCGCCACCTAACCACTTCTTTGATTCCGCCATATAATTACTCTGCTTCGTTGTACATATTCATCATCTTCAAGACGCAAAACAGCGTGTACATAAATACAAAATGTCGAGAACTGACATTAACTTGTTTCTTACCCAGGTTTGGTCCGAGAAATCATCAAGCAAATACTTGCCCGCAGCACCAATGTGATATGCACGATAAATGCCTTGATTTTGCCTTGAATCTATGAATGGATTGTGCCTGGCCAGTTGAGCCCATTGTCAAGGTTCAACCACTAGATTAAAGAAGTTCCACTTGCATCGCCAAGATCCAGTCAAAAAGCCTTTTGTTAGTTTTGACATGTGCTCTGGGGCTGGTCCGAGTCCGCCATCTTAAAATATCATTTACATAACAAGCTCGTAAATCAGAGTTTTAGGGTCGCATACGTGGGGGGCCCCTCGGATATGACGATCCAGTTCAGAAGTCTTGTCCCGGACCCAGACAGGGATGCTGATTATCAGATGATCTGATAAGATTAGATGGGGCGAGCCCACCGCTGGAGCCCTTTAGGTTCTCGGTCGAATAGGCCCCGCTGAATACGCTCAGCAGCCCGCTCCTTTCTGGGATGGATCGGCTGATGGCACCGTGGAGTTGCTTTGCCAAGATTCATGCCAATAGCGCGCGCGATATCGGTCGGCGCAGTTCAAGGGACGAACTTCCTGTTCTGGACTAAGTTTCTGGGCATGCCGGAGGGAGGAGTTCAGGTAGGATCGGAAGTTGTTGAAGATAAAAAGGGTTGCTTGGTAAGGGGCAGTTGAGGGAAAGTTCATTAGACATCTTCATCCAGTATCTTTCGCGCCTCACTATCCCCATCCACGACTAAACTTCCTTCTACAAATTCAAGATGCGTTTCTCCATCACCTGCGGCGTGGCTTTCGCCGCTTCCTTGGCCTCTGCCACCCCTCTTGTCACCCGCAACCAGGTCTCTTGGGACTTCCCCGAGGAAATGCTCGCCAAGCGCCAGGATGTTCCTGCGCCCGGTACTCCCGCTTACCTCTGCCACGAGAACTGCGGTAAGTGTAGTATTTGTTCACACGAAGTAGGTCTCAAACTGATCAATCTTTGCTTGCAGGTACCTCAATCACTTTGTCCCGCGAGGCTGGCTACTGTGAGAACTACCAGTGGATCGCCAGATACGACGCTTGCCTCCAGTGTGCGAATGCCCAGAACGTTTGGCAGTACTACGGCACCTCCGTCACCGCGGCGGCGGCTGCTTGCGGTTTCACTGCTGTTCCTGCCAAGCTCTAGGTCCAGCGCATTCCATTGGGATTCTTGAAGAGAACTTGTAGTATCCATGGGGATCTACGTCCATGAATGAGTTGTATGAAGGAATGCGTGCATAGTAGTTTGATTGAACATGAAAAACTGTACATAATGACATCAATAATAACAAACCGATTAATAAGAGAACCCCCGCCCAGGACCTATGAAAAAGACGTGGAAAGAAAGAAACTAGCCCTAACAGCCGAAAGCATGGGGAACATACCGTTTATGTCCTCAACTCGTCATCCGAGCTTCTTAAAGATATGCTCCTCGTTGAGTTCCCTGGACTTTGAAAGTCACCGATGTCTTTCCCCGTTGCTTCAATTTCTAGAGTGATTCCTTCCTCAGTGAATGTAGTCCCCGAAGAACTAGTCATGCTATGTGCGAGACTGTTTTGAGAAAGTGATCTGCCCAGCAACTTGACTACTGAAATCGGCAGTCCAGCTTTGCTCCGACGTGGAACCTCTCCATCAACAAATGTCACTCTGTTGCTGGGATCTCGGCCACCGGCGACTGGTTGGATGGGAGCTGATGAAGTTGTGTCGGTATTGGTCCTTAGTCTTGGACGGCCCATTGCGGGGTAACGTGATTCGAAGTCGTCAAAAATGTCCATGGCGTGTGAAAAGTAGGCTAGTCTAGGACCAGTGGGTGCGTCCTCTTCGTAATGGTTGCGCCCCCAAACATGGCCGATGAATGCCCTGGTTTCGTCGTCAATAATGGCTGCCCCGGAATCGCCCGGTATGCCGATTCCCCCAGCGTTCCACTTTTCAACGGCCAAGAGTCCTGGAGCGTTTTCGAGATACCATTCACGAGTAGTAGGCTGGTCCGGGCCCTGCTGAACAATAATCGGGGTTTCGCACACGACCGCGTACCTAAATCCGCTACTACGACCAGTACAACGGACCATTCGAAGCTTGGGGCTGATACTCATTGTTTCTGACATCGGGCTTGAGTGCGGTTCGACTTCTCTGCCATCTGGGGCATATCGAATGCAATTGTGAAGCAGCAGGCCTTCGCCTTCCAGATCACAGAAAGCCCAGTCGGTTTCTACTCTTCGTTCATCTGGTGGCACCTTCGGAGCAAACTCCTGGAAAGATCTCGAGGCTCGTTGAGTCCGATACATCCTATATCCAGAGTGTGCGCCAATTTTGGCAATGCGTACCGGAACTGTTCCCGTGGGACAGTCGATTCCTGCTGGATGCACAAGATGACACTCTGGTGCTTCTTGCTCTTCGTTGACACCTGGGGCTCCGTGAAATAGATGAAAGTTTACGAGACACCCAGTTCGGTCACCCCACTTGATTGCTGGACCGATGGTTGCTGCATATTCACCCTTTTCAAACCCAACAGAGTCACCAACCATTAGAGGTGAGTGATAACGAGCGTTACCAGGTGAAGCATACGGTTCTTCTGTTCCAGAGGTGCGCTTGACGACTCCGATGGTGAAAGATATGGTAACGTGCAGTGACCTCTCCGGCGTAAATATCTTGGAGACATTCGTTCTGAGCTCTTGATTCGTGTTGTCTGGTAGCCTTTTCCTGGTAACAACTTCCACAATTCTGAGGACACCATATTCGCCGTAGTCAGCCTGAATCGAAATATTATAGTCTGTGATGTTGCCTTTAACCATGGTCTCCTTCAAGCGCGGCAGTGCTTCATCTTCCCATATCTGATTGAAGTATTCGGATGTTCTTTCGCGCTCCTTCAGTTTGGCTCGGATAGTTGCCAGTTCTGTGGAATCTGACATTGTCGATTTGTCCAGTGGGAAGGTGGGATGCTTGGACTTTGCGAATGAGTTGTGAGATACTTCGTGCGATAGCTGGTCATTTTCTTCTTCAGGTATTCCTTCTGGTTGCGATCCTGGCTCTGTTCTTGGCATTATTGGGCCACGGAGGGACTGACGAGGAATGTGAGACTCGGACCGCGTCAGCCGGGGCATGCATACGATGGCCTGGGCCACCGTGGCCACAGATCGTATTGAGCTGACGCTGACGCTCTTCACGCTCTCCCAAGTCTTTGATCGTGTTGAACGACGGTGGGGAGGCGAAGGAGGAGATGACAAATCTTGCTGCTGCGCCTCATCTTTCAGCTGCTCCTGTTTTACTGCAAAGCCGGGGCCCACGCGTCCGGGCGAGGGCGGAATTGCTGGCGACTCCGGATGCCGAGAAGCTGTGTGTTGAATATCTTCTGCATCTTCGCCGTCCCAAACCCGCCCCCGATGTTCAACATTTATGTGCTTTCTTCTGGGTGCCCCACATTTGTTGTCGGGGACATCGTAATTCTCCCTAACGAATTTTGGTTAGTTAGGCTGTATCGGTGGGTTTGGGACAGCATATCTGGTGGACATTACTTCTCTGAGAGTTCATAGCGGCGCTTTCGAGATTTGCTTCGAAGCTTGTTAACCAGCCGTTGTTTGAGAGATGCTAGCTTATCGGTAAAGTGCAAGCTCATATTGGGCTCCTTTTGTGGTCAGGTGCAAGATCGGGAGTTAAGGCGGCAATGAAAGCTGCCGTCCCACTGTAATAGTCCCAGTCGCAAAGCCAAGACTGAAAGCACACGACTCCTCTACGGGAGGGGCGAGTACGCTCGGAATCATGATTGCTTAAATGATTCAGGCCCTCACAGCCTGATCCTCGAAATTGACTTGGTTGTTCAGTAGAAATGCAAACAGAGTGCCCCGATGGATTCGTGGCTGGGGGCTGTGTTTGGTAACGGTTCGAAGTGGGCGAGAATTGGAAAAAAGTAGAAAAAGTCCAGAGGCCGCCGTTCATGCGGCGTGGGATTACCGACATAAGCAGACTGTCGCTTGCGGTTAGCGCCTTGTTAAGTGTGTGGGCTTCCTTCCAGGCGAAGCACCAACAACATGGTCTCAGCCTGGTCTCGCTTCGGCTGTTGGTTCACATTGCTGACTTTTTGCATATTGTGACGAGTAACACCGCCTGACGGCTGCCTTGCCTGTGCCATTGCATATGCGTCTCGAAATCTGCAATTGCCAAATCGAAGTAGCGGTCACTGACTGAGTGCACCCAACGACGTAATCATCCACTTGGGCTCGTATCATTAAGTACAGGTAAGATATGAGGTCCAGATATGGAATTATTATTATTTCGTACTTCTCATGGCGGAGCCTTCAATTGCAGTTTCTCTTGGCAGAAGCCTTACTGGCAGCCTCCGCTTCACTGCTCCACGATCTGAGTGCTCTTCAGTTCGCTGTATGCATCAGACCCATGTACAACGCAACTCGCAGCAGAAACTCCAAGTAGTAACTTTAGAATCAAACTTCCTATTAATCCATACAAAAATCCCATGATACTGAATTCAAGTCTATGTAGCATCTATGATGAATCTTTATCGCATCAAATATTAGCTCTTCTAGCAGTGAAGCTTTGTCTCTGCTTCCGCATTTAACTCCAGCAAAGCAAGTATTATTTTATGAAACGAGAAACGACTTCCTGCCTTCCCCTTTGTCCTTTGAGATCTTCTGCATTGGGTCTTTGGTAGGTGTTTGGAGTTCACTCTGCGACTCACCAAGTTTGTCGTGGTGAGCAGTTGCAAGGGCTGTATTAGTCGTCAACTCACAACCACGCACCAAAGCAATGTTACGCGTCTAAGCACAACCACCTCGAGCGTCATCTAACCATGAATCTACGCATCTAAACAATAGAGAAGGGCGAGTCACATGATCTGGTGGGCAGGCACTCAAAAAAATAAATAAACTTTGATCTTGTTGTTTTGATTCCAACCAAAGCAACCCGAATTATCACCACCTCCTACTCTACCAAATTTTCATTGCTACTCTCATCAAACACATCGAAATCGCGCCAGCCCTCATCATGAAGGCCATAAATATGCTTCTCCTCCTGGCCGGCATCTTTCTGATGATGTTTGGCGTCCAGTACGACGAGCGCGAGGGCGAGCGTCGCGACCAGCTCCCTCTTGGCTGGTTCGGCGGCGTTTTCTTCCGCGGTGTCGGCGCTGAGCCCGTCAGAGTTCCCTACGACCATTGCTTTGCTTCTCCTGAGGCTTCTGCAATTACCCAGATCTCCGCCAACCAGACCTACATGGACGATTATTTCAAGATGGCTGGCGACAATATCTATGCCGTTCCTGGCTCCATGGACATCTGCCCCATCGATTCGTTCGACGACTTCAAGCACACCATCGAGGATAAGCTTTCGGGCATCAAGGAGGGTGTCGAGCGCGATATCAAGGCCATTGTGTCTGCCGCCAGCGACCACGCCCACAACTTCGGCAAGAATGCATTCTACTACCTCGTTCGCATCGTCTCCTTCGGTTTCTACTCTGTCGATGACCTTGAGGCCATCGTGACCGCGGATCCTTGCGAAACCCACCATGATAACGACCCCGCCTTCGTCCCCATTATCGAAGCTCTGGGAGACTTCATCGTTGAATGCGTCATGGAGATCGAGACTGGAATCCACAACTTCTTTGCGTCCTTGCATTACTGGGCTATCACTCGCTCCACCAACTTCCTCTGTCTGTCCTTCATGAGCGCTGGCTTGACTGCCATGGCGGCTCCAGGCCTCGTGTCTGGACCAGTCTTGTGTGTCATCGCCTGGGGCATGCCTGAGTTCGTCAGTGGTAAGTCTCCCGAGCTCCCCTGAACAAGACCGCGATGTACAAAATTGCTAACTATTGCTTGCAGAGTGGCTTACTGCCCTGATCATGCGCATGTTCGACGAAGTGGTCGCCGTCGGTATCATCCGCCTCTGTGAGAGCGCCTTTGCCGGTGGCCTGGGTCTCGAGGCTCTCGACTACCTGATCAAGGTCGGTGGTCTCGTCGCCGTCCTCTGCTCGTTCGCCGGTCTTGTGGCTGGCTTGACCAGCAAGTAGAAGATGGGAAGGTTACGGTGCCTGGATGGTGTCTAGGTCGGCTGGACCAGACTTGTTTGGACTGGCTATTACTTGGAAACACCCTTCTGGCTCTTTCTTTCATCTCCGTTACTTGTCTCTGGCTGCGGCCAACATCGCGTGGTTATCCCCGAAGGAGAGGGGAAAACCTAGTCTAGGATCGTGGTAAAGGACACCACCATGGAATTGAGGCATATTTATGACCTCAATGAGATACCTCTTGCTCCCGTATATGTGATCATGACGCTTGCGGACGCCTCCATTCGGTGTCTACGGCTGCTGGGCTGGGTCATAATGGCAAACGAGATGCTTGCGTAAATTTGGTGAATATTGCTGCCTCAGCTATTATTGGGGTAACCACTGGGATCAAAAATGTCCTCCTCGTATCTAGTTCTGAGCATTAGCTTCAAAGAACTCCAGTCCAATGGCTGGCTCGAGATGTGTTTGCTTCCTGTGGCTAGGTTGCGGGCTTCATTTGTTAGTTTCATTCCCCTTGCTCCATAAAATTAGATAAACTACGCTTTTGGAGTCGGAATGTCAATTAGAACTCGAGATACTGAGAAATAGAAGGCGGTGGTTCTCTCAGAGGTTCGGCCGGAAGGTTCTCACCCCACTCTCGGCCGGTTCACCCATGCATCGTGAAGTACCCACCGCGAGGGCTTCAACCCCACGTTTCGTCCCACACAATCAGCAATTTCGACTGACGCATTCATTCTATAGTCGGTCTATTAGTCTAGTTGGTTAGGACGTCGGATTCTGATCTCACAATCGGTCCCTTCCGTAAGCCCAGGTTCGAATCCTGGATGGACCTTCTTTTGCTCGGGCTTTTGATGTCCTCACTTCATGTGGTCCAGGCGCTCATTTTTGCCGGACGAACTCCGTTTAGCATACCTCATGAATGTGTAAATAAACTTTCTACTTTTACGCCATCATACAGACCGTTACTTCATTAAAGCGTTCCTCCATTATCGACCTTGGCCGTCTTGCCGCCCAAGTACTGAAAGTCACCATCCCCTCTGACCCCAATCGTGAATACTCTTGCTTGCCCCAAAGCACGCTGGAACCATCCCAAACGGAAATTTAGATCGGATAGCCTGCCATGAAGCTCGTCTGTCGACAACAACTGGGTGCTCTCCGGCAGATGATCTGACGCATTGGACCCTCGCAACAGCGCACCCATGGTCGCCATACTGTGAAACCCATCTGGAGCCAGACCCTTGACATCCAAGTGGAATGGCCAATTCCTACCCACCATACGCTTCGTTACCACGGAAAGAACCGCGGAAATGTGAGTCAAAGCCACGGCTACGAGGATCGCGACCAAGATATACGTAACCGTTGCGTTCTGCACCAGGCGACGTCTCCCATTGTCGCTGACGACTGCTTCTAGAGTTGGAAGCTGGTCAGGTGGCGCCGCGTTCCTGGAGCGTGCTGTCAGGTTGTATCGGTTTTCGATGTTGACGAGCTGCGCGGCAACAAGGCCGTAGTTGTGTTGCAAGCCCTGCAGGATCTCTTCATCCTGGCCCGCGTCTCCGAGTGCTTCGAGAGGAAGTTTCCCAAACGGCTGTATCAACTCTTTGAACTGTTCGCCGATCCAACCAGCAAGCAAGTCGGCGACGGCTAGTTGGGGATAGGCATCGCCAACTTGGATATTGATGAATTGTTGATCGACATGGGGTATGTCCAGAGTAGGCGTCCACGGCTTGATCGTGGACAGATCCGCTTGAGGGGGTCTTTCGGGGTCCAATGCGTACTCGCCGTCATTCGCGGCGAGATGAACCTGTGTGGTTGCTTCGACCCAGGTGTAGTTGCATCTCCACATGGAGAAGTAATCGAAGCCATTCTTTTCCGTTGAGAACTTGCCCCAAGCGTACG